GGGCTGGGGGATCCCGGATGCAGGGCAAAGGGTGGATACAATGAATCCTCTAATGGGAACAAGCCAACGGTCAGTACTGGAGTGACAGAAGCCGAGTGCAAGAGCCAGAGGGTAAAGTAGGGTTGTAGTCGAGCTCTCCGAGAGGAGGCCGGACAATTGGACTCTCTAGGGAAGGGTCATGATTTTAAAGAAGCAATCATATCTACCTACCTGCACTGCACATGGGGCAGCATTCGCCATTTATTTCATATTCGCCGGGGTAGCATCGTAGAGCTTCCGAATGAGGTAGTTGTGTTATCAAGAAAATGACAAAAATCTGTAGGGAAGAAGAGAAGTTTCTGAGTCACATCATGCAGGCTCAAAAGCAGACAAGGAGCAGACAAGGAGACACTGACTAGCCTCCCCAAGCCCGCAAGCACATTCAATGGAGAGCATAATGATGAACAAGATGATAATTATGTTGATTAGAAATGTTACCAGCGTTATTACTTATACAAGTTTATTATCATATTTTGTTTTACCCTTTAGGGTATTGCTGTGATGCTTTGAGGTCACAAAGAAATCCAATTTTATCTCTTGAAATAATACACAGCGTCATTCAAGTAACAGAAACAAATGCAAATTTCAAAGAGATCATTTTAACGTGTTGATGGTGTCACTGTTTATCTCTGTTTATGTGGTAATGGCACCACTTGACAGCTCCACAACATACCTCATCTTAAAGTAGACATACAAAACTTTCAAATGATGTGTGATGTGTATTTATAGAGAGAGACTGCATTAAGATAGGCGAACGGCAGACACCTCCAATTTGGTTATCAGCCTCCTACTTCGCCATTTCCTCACTACCACTCTCCACATTCTGGGTCAAACTCTGCTCTCGTTTAAACCTGGAATAGTTCTACTGACATTAGTCTGGCTAGAATCCAGCCTTTACAGCCTTGGGACATGATCCTCCATCCCTGACTCATGCGAGTGCTCAGCTCAGTGTGGGTCTAATCACGTGTATCACAGTGATGGGGTTCGATTCATAGACTGTGACCTTTGACATTTCAGCTAAAGCCACTTTCTGTTATGATTTTTCTAAATCCAGAAGCCTGGGGGATACCCTGTTAGCCACTTGGAAATCATTTTCCTTTTGTCCCCAGTATATTCTCTTTCCCTTTTACCCATGGTGCATTTCTCTGAGTTCTTGGAATACAGCTGAACTTAGCGCCAGTTTCAGTTTACACTGTGACACCCAAAATGGAAGGACTGAAATATGATTGGCTAATGAAAGCCCCAAACTGAGACCCAGCAACACAGCTTCGGTGTGGGCCAAGCGTTATTCCCTGTGCTGGCCTGTTCCACACGTCCATACAACAGAGGACACCCTGGG